TCCTTTGTAATTCTTTCTTTTCCTTTCTCAGCCCATGTCATATTGATCATATTTACAGGGACTTCTGAAAAGGGAACTGCAGGTTTGTCTACCACCAACTCTTCAGGCGGGCTGGTTTTAAGTCTCTTTCCCTCGGGAGGAACCAGGTCTGTTTCTTCTCTGAAGCCTGTGGAAGCTTTCTCCAACCTTTGCAACATTTGTAGTAACGTAGTTTGTAAACCTTCTGGCATCTTGACATATATCTTCTGATCAAGGGGTTCCACTAGGCGTGCCAAAACTATGTTCGTGTTAGGAATTTCCGTCGGGGATGTTTCCTGGCCGATGAGCACACAGCTCCCCAGGAGGATGTCGCCGGTTGAGGGCTGCTGTCAGGCTTCTGCTTCGTTGTCGGGCATTGTCAGGCAAGTCTCGTCGGGCAAGTCTCGTCGGGCAAGACTCTTCGGGCAAGACTCTTCAGGCAAGGCTGAAAGAGAAGGATAGCGTTAACTTTGAGAGGTGCCTTTGTGGGGCCTAAGGTGTAGGCCTTAAGGCACACAATCAAGGTTAACATCTAGGAGCTCAGGCGTGCCACTGCCATCTTTAGCATGGCAGATGTAAAATGGTTGTCGTGCTTTAGTTGTATATATATATGTATCCAAGAAACCGTGTTAGTTATAACAGGTGCCTTTATGGGGCCTTAGGTGTAGGCCTTGAGGCTTCCCATAAATAACTAAACCAGTGCTCGAACGCATCATATTTGTTCTCGTGGTTGTAGGAGTTTTCTAACTATTATACTTCTGATTACCCGAATCCAAGAAGTAGAATGAACCCAAATAGGTGCCTTTGTGGGGCCTTAGGTGTAGGCCTTGAGGCTTCCCATCAGAGTTCATTCTTATACTTAGACTCTTTAGATCGCCGAACGGAATGAATCCAAATGGATGCTTTTGTGGGGCCTTAGGTGTAGGCCTTGAGGCTTTCCATTAGAATCCATTCCATGCTCAAGCGTTCTATGATAATCATGACATAATAGAAAGAAAACTAGAAGGTAGGTTGATTACTTGCGCCCCAAGTAACTTCGGACTTCTCGTTTATCAATGACTGTCGTGGATAGGTTAAGTCCACATAAAGTTCTTTTTTATGCCTTGAGGCCAAGGACTTTTAACTGATCAGATTTACATGCCCGAGGGCTTAGGACTTGGATCTGGTTTGAACACTGACAATATATTCAAATCGGATTCAAGTGCTGAGAAAGCTTTTTAATAGTCATGTTGCTAGAAATAACTTGCATATAACTGGAAGTATACAACATATTGAAAAGACAAAACTAAAGCAAAGAAGGTCGGGCAAGGTTAAACCTTATCGGGTAAGGTTGCTCGTCTTGCAGGTTCCTATCTTTGTAGTTTTGTCAAAGGTTTGAAAGCTTAGAGGGGTAGAGAGAGAGAGATTACAAAAGATGAATCGATACTACAGCAAGGTTTAACAAGGTAGCAGAGCTATTACAAAGGGTTGAAGAGAGGGTTATCCCGAGAGGGATGAATGCTGGTCTCGTAAGGGATGAAGGCTGATTACAGCTTTGTTTTGAAGGCAAATCTGGCTTTGAGCAGAGTTTGTGCTTGCATTTGTTTGTTTGATTGAGTGTCTTTAATCTTGGATTTTCTTTCTTCTTATATAAACAACTCGGCTTGGCCTTTGGTAGCAGCAGCTTTGCCCGAATGCGGTTTGAGGGTGATGACTCATCAGCTATTTTACATGTAATGCCACCATAAAGTGCTTTATGGGCTGTGTAGCTGACCAGTCTACACCACTTGGCTTTTGGGTAGGTAAGCAAGTGGTCTTCATGAGCTGCACCAAGTCAGAAAAGGCCTTTCCCTGCTTTCTGGGCTTCGACTGGGCTTCGGTTATCTCCCTTTCGGGCCTCCTTTTGGGCCAACTCCTTTCTTGAGCCCAAAGTTTCAAGTTTTGATCCAAACACAAGCAGTTGATTTCTCCCACGTCGTACAATACGAGTATTGCATGCTAGTTTATAAATATGACTTCTCTAGTGATGTATAACTCGTATAGTTTGCTCTAATTTTGTTGTGGTATTAGAGTCATGTAATTGGCATGTTGTTACACAGTATCCATTGCCCATGTAAATAACCTGGCTCCTAATACCATGACAAAATCAGAGGCGGTATAATCAACACTAACTTTTTTGGTTTATTTATTTTCAATGAGCTAGGGATAATTACCTTACTATGATAGGTTTTGTAATTTGTGAAATTCACAAGGAATCTCCTTCATTTCATGTTGGTAGTAAAGGTATGAATTGGAGTATCTTCAAGTTTCATCTACATATTATTGATATCAACAATTTAACATTGAAAGAACACTAAAATTCAGATTGACAGATTCAAATTTGGTGTCACCTCTCCCATATAATTGGGGACTCAGCACAAATATGCCTCCCATATATATACACCGTAATTTGTAGATCATATGATGCAGCAGTTGATATTTGAATTCCTTATTTAAATCATTAAAAATAAATCCAACCATCAACTGTCACATCATTATATATGTGTCCCAAGCATTACCGTATGAATATATAGGTGAAGGAAAAATTTGTAAAAACAAGTTCGTTTGAGCAACATCTATGCATACAATGAACAATTAAAGGAGGAATCATGCTTGTGTGCACTCAAAAACAAAACTTTACCCATGAAATTCAAGGCTTAGTAGTTGTGGTGAACCAAGATTCAACTCAAATCTTAAAGAAATGAGTTGAGAAACTTTTATACCTTTGAAGCACCTCTTTGCATAAGTAAAGGCTAATCACCCAAGAGAGAGGGCCTTCATTCCTTACTTCTTAGCTCCATGGATTTCTTGGAGGAGGATGGTTGAATGGATTCTCCAAGTTCCCAAGAAAGGGAACCTCTAAGTTTCCACACCAAGGAGGGACTTGAAGAAGAGATGAGTGACCTTGGAGGATGATTGATACCCCTCTAAGGGGGCCGGCCTCCCAGAGAGAAAAAGATAGCTTTTGTTCTCTCCAATTTCCTCAAGAGAGAACCCTAATGAATTTTGGCTATAAAATCCTTTATATAGTCACTTCACTTAAGTGACAAAAAGAACCAAAAACTTTCATTCATAATATGGCTGGCCTTCTAAGGGCTTTGGGCTATTTGGGCCCTTTTGAGTCTTTATTCATTAAGTTGTCATACAACTTAAGTTAATGGGTTTGACAGTTTTAAACCCAATGGGCCTTGAGGTCCACTAATTACTCAAAAACTAAAACGAACTTATTCGTTTGATTAATTAACATATTAATTAATCCTAGCCATAAATAATTAAACCATTTAATTACCCCTACTCATCTCTGTTGTTTCTTCAATCTCTACCTTACACGGTGTACGATCCATAAGGTTCCTTTTAGCGAGGCAGTGGTCGATTAGAACTCTTCAAATCGATTGTGAATTGAAACTTACTTTCAATTCTCCCTTTAGTGATTATACACCTTTAGGGCTTCCACAAATCATGAGTGACACCTAGCAATATGTCATGGCTACCCAAACTAATCAGAAGAGGTGGATAACCTATTCAGTTTGGGATTACAATGCAATACGGTCTTTCTCTAATACAATACTCTTGACCACATTGTTTGGTTTGATAGTTTATTCATGTCTACTATCCAATGTGATTCTCTTACTTATATGATTACCTTGAACGTGATTTGGAATGACTTCCTAAATCTTATTCATACTCTGGCCAGAGATTCTTAATCATATTATAGAGAATTCTCCCTCAAACGGTTTGAAGGTTAGAGATCCCTTGTTGTGCATTCACTTGCCTCCATGGCTAAGTGGCTTAACCCCAACTATGTTGTGGACACCCTCTAACGGAGTGACTTTGACATAGTCAAAGATTAAAGACCTAACCATAAGACAACTATGATGCTTCAGGTCAAATGACTACTTTGCATTACCCCAACCATGGGTTCTCATGTGACATGAGTATAAAAACTCCTTGTTGATCACGTTCAGTGGACTCATTCTCTATTGAGCACCTACATGCTTGTCTTGGTGTCAATCACACCAATGACTTGAAACTAGTCACTCTCTCTAAGAGAAGACATAGCACGTACTGATCTTAACGGACTGTCAATGCCCAATTGGCAATCCTATGATCATGAACGTTTAGGATATGTATACAAAAGAGAATGGTCTCATGAATCTAACTTCTTTAGGTCACATTCTCCCAATTACATGTTCCTTGGACTTATCGTTTAAACATATAACGTTTATATGAGACGGCTTTAAACAATAATCTTTGCCCTTTATATTAAACTAGATTAGTTTAATATATGAAACGTTTGTAAAGTATCATCATATGATTGGCTTTAGGGCACATTTCCAACAATAGGTTTACTTGTTTCTATTTGTGTTGGTCTATTTATTGCTCTGGTGATAACTTATTGATTTGTCCCACATTGTGCCAAGCAAAATTTGGTTTGAAGAACCACCTGATTTTTTTTATTTGATGTATTGTTCATGGATTGTAATCACTAGCTGGTTGGGGTTGAAGCCTTGAAGGGAGGGAGCGTTCTATTCAGGGTTTAGTTCTTTCAATCTCAGCTATTTCTACCCACTTGTGGAAAGAGAGTAGAACTACAAAAGTAATTGCATGACCAAGCCTGATGTGTAGTTTGTTCGGCTCGTATATATCGATCATCTCGGTCCAGTTTGGCTCCCAGTATGTTTATTGTGTATTGCTTCTGGTTGTATTTCATAGTTAAATTCATACAAGATAGATTCGTTTAAAAGAAAAATTAAAGTTTTACCAAGTATTGTCTAATTTATATGAGGTTTCGTTGATAGATGAAAGAATACAGAGAATTTACCATTCACCTTGGAAAAATAAATAAAAATTTACCATTCACCATGGATTTGTATGATTATTAGTTTCAAAGCAAAAACTTAAATAATCTTAAACTAGATCAGTGTCATTAGCAAATATCAAGTTTTAAAACTAGATTTTGGTAGGTTGCGCGCACCATGCCCATGCTGTAGTGCAATGCTTGGGTGACACTCAAGAGCCCTAATAGCAAGCTATTGTAATGCACTCTTCCTTAAAATAATTAATTTAATATCATGTAAACCATTGATTCACATATCAAATATTAAACTATTAAACTGATAAAAACAGATACTACACTTGATCTTAGCCAAAAGGCCGAAAAGGTAAGGTATGCTTTTTCTTATGTTTGGCTTCTGTTTTTATATGCCCCTTCATTAAAATACCTCTCCCATACGGCCAATGTGGTATATGAAACTTGTATTTCTATGACATTTTCTTATATGTCATCGTGCCCATACATTTGTAATTGTATCCTCTGTGATACTAAGGAGTAAGGACGACCAAATTGGAGGGAGGAGGAAAGAACATATACTCTGTCTACACTCAAAAGACTTTATAGAACTACAAAGCATTCTCTCTAAAATGTTCGGCTTTGTTTCAACTTATGTAGCATGAATGCTACATGTATTAATTTAGCCGTTAGATTTGATTTTCACAACTATTTAAATATTTTATTTTCAATCTCAACCATTCATTTCCCGTATCACTCCATGCTACATACCTTTGAATAAAAATTGGAAATTTTCAACGCCAAAGTATCTCCATATTTTAATTATTTTTTGGTTTTCCAAGCTGATTGGAAGAGATGTGAGCCCAAATTGGAGGAACTCTCCAATATTGTGCCCTAGACTTAGGGGTGCAAGTTGGATTGAAACTCAAGGTTCTAAAAGGTGTTAGGCCCGGGGGGGGGAGGGGGGTGGGGCCTAGTTTTTTTTTTCTTTTAATTAACTTTATTATATAATATATTAAGTTTCTACTTATACTTAAAAAATATATAATTGTATTGGAAAACATAAATTTAAAAATAGAATGATATATAAACTATAAAGTACTAAAACATTAAAAAAAAAAAATATATATATATAGTACTAAAACATATTAAAAATATGAGGAACAAATATATAATAAGTGTTATATAATATGTAAAATAAAAGTTATATATCAATATGTACGTACAATTTATTGAAAATATAAAATGTAAAATAGAAGTTATCTAATTTCTATATAAGTGAGAATCGCAACAAAATAAACAAAATGTAAGCTAGGCAGGAAATAAACAAAATGTAAGTCATTTTATTAAATAAACAAAATAAGCAAAAAAGGTCACAAAAACACCCAGTCTGCCTAGACCCATCTAGGCCGTTAGGCCACTTATGTCCACCTAGGTAGGCTAGGCAGGAAATTCAAATTGTAGTATGAAAATCTCGAGTTAAAACCGATTCAAAAAATATCAATAAATTCCGATAATCCGAATATTTCAAAATTGAAACTAAAGTTTAATTTTAACACTTTTTTATTTAGCACTAGAATACTTGTTTCCAATTCGATCCAACCAAAATCACCTCAACCTGGAATCGAGATAGGTACTAGTCACAGTGAAAGTTTATTTCTATAGCTTTGGAATCGTTCTTCTTGAAGAATTTAAGGGAAACTTTATTAGTATAGGAGGCTGATGATTGATGATGAACCTGCCCACTGCCCAGCAGCGAGTTCATTTTTCCCAAATCACAAAATGGTAGTTTTGAATAGTGGTTTAAACACATATTTTCTTCATTTTACGGTTACCGGTGTTTGGTTAAGCTCTCAAATTAATTTGTGGTATCAGAACCATGTTATATGCATGTTGTTACATGGTAATGTCGCTCATGTGAATAACCTGACTCTAGGATACCATAAACAAATTTACGACTTAGTGAAACCAAAGTTTTTATTTCATGTACTTATATTGTTAAATTCATTACTTCTTACCACATCTCCTGAATGTTAATAGGGATCCATTTGTAGCTCGTCCCACGTTGAAAAAAGATCTCCACTTATGCCAACTAGTTGTGGGTTAGAGGCTCATATTCTGATGTGGTATTAGAGTTTTGTTATTTCAAACTGGGTTTTGTTACTTATAATAGGTCTATTGAATCAATCATGATCAGTAAAAAATTTAAAAATATTTAACAAAATTATCAATCATGATTAAGTCTATGGGACTCCATGGAATTCATGTTTAATTGGAGGACCAGATGCATCCATTTCATTCAAATCAAGAAATACAACGCAATCAAATAAATAGCAAATACCTGAATTTGAAGATAAAGCGGGGAAATATAGAAATCTTCAAGTCTTAAACAGATTGGAGCATAACCCTGTTTTTGGCAACAAAACAACTATTTTCAGAAAATTACAAAAAGACATAAAACAGGAAATGAAATTACTCAAAAGTTTAGAGAATCTGCAAATTGCTACTGTGGAGCCAAAAATATTCACTAGGCGACACGTGGACTTTTGAACGAAAGAGGACAAAAATACCCTTGAGGCATACCGGGATTCCTACGCGCAAGCAGCAGGAAATTATCTTTCAACCAAGTCAAAATTGCTCAAAATAGGTAACAATTTAAAGCTTATTTCATCAAATCCTTTCCATAAGGTAATTCCCAAAACCTAATTCATTTTATATGTTTTATATTCCATTATTTAGCTAATCAATTAGCTAAATAATATTTTCCTTTCATGTTTCCTAAAAATTGACTAATTAAGGGATTAATCACCTAATCAATCCCTTAATTATCAATTTGAAACATCCACTCAAACCTAAAAAATACTATAGGGCCGGCTATCCCATTCAAAACCTAAACCATTACCTTTTGTTACCTTTTCCCACCATTTCTTCCCTTTTATTAGCCAATCAATACCATAATTACTATAACATTTCCTTTCATGGTTAATTAGCCAACTAATTGGCTAATTAAACCAAAAATAAAACCTAAAATTCCCACCTAGTAGCCAGCCACATTTCCTCCCTTTATTCTTTACCTTTTTGATTTTCTCCATCTTATTACCCAAATAAAGCTAATCATTCAATTTGATAACACCTCATTTATTTCTATCATATTTTATTAGCCAATAAAGTGGCTAATTAAACCACAAATTCACCAAAAAATGGAGAGAGTGGCCGGCCATTCCTTGAAGAAAATGGAGAAGCCTAATCCTATAAATAGGCTCCTATTTTCACCAAAAACTCATTCCAATCCTCTTGCAAAAATTCCAAAACACTCTAAACACTATTTCTCTCTAAAATTCTAACTTTGGCATCGGAGGTTCTTCGGCCAAAGCCCCCCCATTCATCGTGGGCGCGTGAGGCTTTTGGCCTTAACCTAAGATGCTAGTTGTTTTGTAGGTGCAAATTCGTCCAAGATCGAAGAGGAGAAAATTTGCATCCACAAATTGGTGCTTTCATTAAGAGTTGAAATCCATACTCGTAGAAGACTCTCGCACAAAAAGGTTTTTTCTCTATTTTTTAGTCCATTTGAATATTTTTCATACGTTCTTATTATTAGAATTTTTTATTTGCAAAGGTTTTTTGATAAAACGTATAAGAAAAATATAATGGCTAGAAATTTAGAAAATACCACAAGTGAGAATTCAAATACTCAAGAAATGGGATTACGGAGATCCACGAGGCAAAATACGGTCGTAAGTAGAGTGGCACCACCACCACGAAGTTCCACCATGGCCCAAGCCGTGCCATCCAAGTTTGCACGGGCCCAAACCCAAGCTTCGCATTCGCATGCACCACGCACTGAGCAGCCTGCTCCCGTGATCCAGCCTGCTCATGTAGCCCAGCCTGCTCCACTGATCCAGCCTGCTCCCATGATCCAGCCTGCTCCCGTGATCCAGCCTGCTCTCAAGGTTTCTCAAGCTGCTCAAGTCGGCCCGAGACAATCTCAACCATCCGGACCAATCATCGAGGCTGGGGTATTTTCACCACATTTCTCCGCAGATTTGACATTCCCCAACTCAAATCTCACACTTGGAGCCAATCACCCTTCTATTGTTCAAGGAGGTGCATTCCACCCAAGTTCTTCTAATCCGAATGGCGAACAAAACTTGTCCCGACAAGTCATAGAGTTGACGAGTGCCCTTGCACAACAAACAACCTTGGTGAATCAACTTTTACAACGCACTGAGATCCAACGTGCCCCAGATGAAGTATCCCGAAGTAGGACAAGGGCAGGCGAGGAACCTCTCAAGCAGCGTCCTGGAAAGCAGCCACTCAACCAACCACAAACGGAGCATTCAGGTAGTGCACACTCTCGATTGGGCCCCCGAGATAGCGTATACTCCCGTCTTAGTGCACGGAGGAGCGTGCACTCTTGACTAGGCCCGAAGGTAAGTATACATTCCCGGTTGGGGCCACGCTTTGATAATCGACATGGGCAGCCTTCCAGACAAAGTATTCATTCGCGGTTAGGCCCGCAAGGAGTATCCTCCACATCACATCGGAGCAGTCAGCCTGGCAAACGGAAGGAAACAATCGTTCAGTCCGATTCTAGTTTAACCGGCGGCCCGTAAAATCCTTCGCCTGCTAGGAATCCATCTCATACACCGCAGCCACGACATAGACGAGCTGAGCGCGTAGAATAGCAGCCTAGACCGGTAGGTCGAGACCAGGGGCAGCCGAAGACTCCGCTATCCCAACAAAGACAAATTCAGGAAGAGGTAGAAAGGCTTTTCAATGAACGGATGCGTGATTTCCGACGCAACGAAATGGTTGACGAAGCACTAAGTCGAGATATGTCCAACATAAGTAGGTCACCTTTCACGGACGAAATCGAGCAGGCAGAGCCTCCACGCAAGTTCAGCATGCCACACTTCACATCTTTCAAAGGAGACGGGGATCCCGAAAGACACTTGAAACATTACCGAAGTGCGATGGTCCTCTATCGGAATAATGATGCCCTTATGTGCAAAATATTCGCCACTACTTTACAAGGCGAGGCACAAGATTGGTTTCATACCTTGCCGGCACGATCCATCCAGAATTTTGATGATCTTTCCTTGGTTTTCACCAAAGAATATTCATCTTATCGTTCGATCAAGAAAAAGTCCGATCACTTGTTCAACGTAAAGAAAAACCCAAAAGAGTCACTTCGCGATTACGTGAAGATATTCAAAGCAGAGAAGGCGAAGATCGTCGGATGCGATAACTCGATTGCAAGTGCAGCCTTCCAAAAAGGACTACCAGCAGATCACCCACTGTTTGGAGAAATGATCATGAAAGAAGACCTAACTCTAGCAGATTCCTTTGCTCTGGCAGAGAAGCATGCACTTTGGGA